TATTATCAAACTATTCGCGGATCAAATTTGGATTTAAATTTATATAAAAAGAATACTGCTTCACTGAGAAAAATGTTTTGATTATACCAACAAGAAGTACAAACAAAACGAATTTTAATCATATAAATTAGAATGCTGGTTATCTGAATTATATAGAATTTCATGAATTTAACTACGAGTGTCTAATTTGTACTTATCTGATTGTATCAGAATTCCAATTAATAAAATGAGACTTTTTCCAGTGTTAAAAACTCAGTAACAATTTAACGCATGTTTTCTCGAAGATTAACTTTTAATGCAACATGCAATTTTGAATTTTCCAAAAGTTCCCATAAAATACGTTTCGATTTTAAGACTGTCAGTGAATACATGCAACATGCAATTTTGGATTTTTTAACATATTCAAAAGTTTCCGTAAAATATGTCCCGAGTTTAAGACTGACAGCGAATACATGCGAGCTCGTGGAAGATCGAGCAGTGTCATTTTCGGAGTTTATTTCTCCTCGTTCGTAGGTTTACGACGCGTGGAAACAGCGATCGCTCGGGCCTATTTTTATTACTCTCATGATTTATCCGCAGCCACTGCTGCCCTATTTATTCTCATTGTAGTCGCTCGTCGACAGAGTCGTAAGGCAGCATGGTATTATCTGTGAACGTTACTATGTATTTTCCACGCGCTCCATATCGACGCGCACGGTCGCGCTAATAAACGTGCGTTTGTAAAAAAAAATTGTTCCGTTCCGAGAAACAGTTACTGCAAATTGCGACTGTGCGGAGGTACCTATATACCTGGCGCGCGGTTACGCGATCCTCGATATTCTATCCGGATCGTTAACGGCGATAACGCGCAGTGATTTTATTTCGGAGGATCAAGAGAGATACTCTCCTCCTCTCTCTCTTTCTCTCTCTCTCTCTCTCTCTCTCTCTCTCTCTTTGTGCACACACGGCTGCTCGTCGAAATTCGAAGCACGCGGCGAGCCTTAGCCCTCGACCACCATGTTCGATTTGGGTAACATAACTGCTACGGTAAAGGAATCCAGTTCCGATCTCTAATAGAAATGGCGCAGTATTTTATGTCTATGGCAAGTATTGTTGCTCCGAACTTTTTATTTTTCCATTATTTAGTAAATAAGCGGTATTGCTCGATTCGTTCCCGAGGTATAGATCCTAATTATCACGTTAATCGCGGAAAAAAGAATTTACTCTTCTTACTTTTATCATGGGCGATACAGCATAGTACTCGCCTTTCCGGATACAAGAGCTTGCGAGTTATTCTTTATTACGCGTGCTCGCGTTTCAGTTAAATCGAGCGTCTAAATGCAGCCGGTATATAAAAGATATCATGCGCTTCGGAAACATTTTATCTACGCGCACGGCCGAAAGTAGAATAAAAATGTATCTTATCTGTGAGAGGGTAACGAATTTATCGTAGCGGAGTTACACGGGCGCGGTTTCGAACGCGATATTTTTAGCGAGATATCGATGCAGTTAAATCGCGAGAATGGAGCTACCACTCACTACTCCTTCCATATGTTGCGAGATTCTCGTAGCCAACAAATGTTTTAAGATATTAGAATTTTTACGGTTATGGATTTCGTATTAAAATTGTATTAATCCCTTAAGTCAATAATATAAAAAAATACAAACTTAATTAAAATATATAAATTAATTATTGGTTGAATATTGATTCATTATTAATGCGATAATATACTTACAATTAAAATTACAATTAAAATTACAGTTAAAATTAATGTATTTTATTTAACTGAGTATCAATGATTGATATATAAGTGAAATGTTTTATACATATATACCGTTGAAAATATTATATAGAGATTTTTCCTCTTCAACGATCGATTACTGATTGTACAAATAAATTAACCATTAAGTAAATAGCGGAAATAAACAATTAAATATTGAAAACGTGTGAAAAACCGATTGATTAACACTAAGTAATTATAAAAAGTTTTTTTTATATAAAATCTCAATAATTAATCAATGTTGGAACTGTCTTAAGAAGCACTTCTTATGCGAAATTGCTTACTCATCGGCAACAATTAGTCATGTAGTAAATAACATGAATCGAACAACTGTTAACCGATCGTAACGAGAAACCAGCTTGAAATTAGCGATTGAGTAACGATACCTAATCACGATTGACGCGAAAATTTCAAAGTGAGATGTATGAAGTGCAAAGTAGGTTTTGCAAGTTCACTTGTCGTATACCGCATGTGTGTTCTACGTATATACCGGTTGTTAAACTGGGACGACCGCGGGGCAAAATCTAATTGCACGGCTGTTTAATTAGATCGTTGGCACTCGCGCGGTCTCATCGTGCCCTTCACGCCGAACTCTGTCCTTAAGATACGGATCGGCCTTAATTCATCGCGTCCACAGGATTAATCTCGCTCGTGAATGCCGCGGTGCGCTCTAAAATTAGCGCGAACGTCAATTGAGCGCAGTGACTGCACGCACGCGTCGGAATATATATATATATATATATACATAGCACACATCGATTACTTCATACATGCTTTTTTTCTCTTTCTATTTCTCTTGCTCTCTGTCTCACGTGCGCGATATAAACGCGCGTAAACTAGCGCCTTGCGTGGCGATCGCGAACGACTTATCGGATTTGCCGCGGGCTGCTCTAAGATGGATTTCATTATCACGAGGTGTCTTTGATCCCGTCTTGTAAACGCGTTTTCATTTAACCAATGCGATAATGGAAGTCAGCACGATAGCCATGCTCGAATTATAGGCTCGTTTACACGAGAGAATTAAGAATTTTATTTCTCCAAGAAAAAAGAAAGATCAATATCGCTTTTGCAAAAATAATATTGATACCTCCGTTTTCTATTATACATGCACATGTAAAGTTGAATATCATTAAATTGAGGATATTACTTGCACTAACGGCATCGCATTCCTATGACTACAAATGTAATCACATTTAGCGTCGGGTAAAAAGCAGTTTATGCTTGACGCAGGGCATACCAGATGGACATACTTTATTCGCGAGACAGTGAAAAAGTGACTTTTTTGTTAATAAGAACATCATCAAGATTGCATTATTTTGTAACACGCATTCGATCTGCATGGTTATCCGTATCGGCACGAGATGTTTTGCATAATGGCATCTCCTACGAATTCATTAAGCGACGTATACTTTAGGTTGGAGCTAGAGAAATGCAGATTCGACGTTTAGAGCTCCCGCATGCTACGAAGTTTCTTTCTGGGATACCTTAATTTATACGCCAATAAAATGTCCATGAGATTTGTTGAGCGCGCTTTACGAGATGCTTATTGAATGTCGTACAGTGCCTCTATCGTTAAATGAGAAAACATTCTCTTTCGATTTAATTCGAATATAGCAATGTCAATTTTTTTCGATTTCCTTTTTCACTTCCTTTTTTATTTTACTTTGTTACAATTAGTGTTCGGAAACATCAGACGATTTGACAGTTCGGACAGTTCGAACGTTAAATAGTTCGGATTGAATGTATGTTCGAACTATTTTAACCCACCTCAGAGCTGAAAGTTTGAAATTATTACATTTCGAACTCAGATATCAAGTCGTCCGCAAGATCATCCTGAATATGTCCAGGATATTTGTAGGACGATATCAATAAATATAGGAATTTTATTTAACTGCTCTTTTGTTTCCAAGGCATACTATATTTGTTAACACTGAAAAAAAAGATTGGCTGCTGCAGCAAATTATATGGTAAAATATGGCATAGCATTTTTAATTGGCTGAAGCAGCCAATTTTTGGTTGCAACAATTATTGCGTTAGCCTATCCGCAATATAGGATTTCAGTATAGGATTTCGGTAGACAATCAAAAATTGGCTGCTGCAGCCAATTAAAAATGCTGTGCCATATTTTACCATCTAATTTGCTGCAGCAGCCAATCTTTTTTTTCAGTGTACTGTCCGAACCGTCCGAACTTCAGACATAACGAATTGATATTTCATACTGATCACTGCTTAAGCTCAAACTGTTCGAACTGTCCGAAATATTCGAATTAGATGCTCATTTTTTTAAACTTCGAACTGTTCGAATAGATCGAATATTCAACATGTTCGAATCTTTTGTCTGAGTTCTAGTTACAATTCATGTGTTTCGTGTACAAAGTTCGAGACAATTTATCTTATAAATATTAGGCAATTGTGTTTATATATAGGCTTCAATAAAAAATAATCTTTCAAAATTAAGTGCTCTAAAGCGATCTGTATTACGACGATCATTATTACTGCATTAATACTTGATGTTATATAACGCTATTAGAAGTCAAAGAAACAATGGCAACCCAATCCCTTATGTTATATAACATTTTGTTATTTATAACTTTCACGTATGTCAAAATGTAAATCAATCCATTTCTATAGTTGTTTGGTTGTTTCGAAGTAAATATTGACACACATGCGCTTAGTAAATAAGTAAATAATAAACTAAATCTGAGTAATTTAATATATTTAATATATTTTCTCTTGATTTAAATAATTTAACTCCATTATATTAATTAAAGTAACGACGTATTGAGTAGGAACAGTGGCGACTTATAGAAATAACAAAAAAATAACTTAAACTGGATGTAATTTGACATTATGAATTTAATAGTGTTTACTGAAAGATTGTTCAGAGACTGTTTTGAATTGTTTAAAGGGAGTATCAATAATACTGCATACAAAATGATTGTACAATAATAATTGAGCATCTAGAGGCCGTTTTGATACGAAATGTGATACATTAGAAGGAGATGAGGAAGAATTCTCATGGCGTAACGCGCTCGGTCGCAAAATAAGACGGTATGCCTCTCGTTATTAGCTATTCGACCGGTGACGTACAAAAAACGTAATAATTTCATCGGTGCCGGCCTTAACGACGACGAAGCCGTGACGACAAAAAGCTCAATCTATCAAATTGTCACTGGCCTTTCTATTCCATAGCTCCGCGCCTTCCCTAATAAGCAATCTTCTCGGGGACCTTACCGTAAACCGCCATCCACCAGCTGAATGGATTCCGGACCGGTACCGACCGACCATCTTCGATCACAGGGCCGGTTTCTTGCTTCTTCGACGAGCTCGCCGCGAGTCCTCGATTACGATTTTTCTGAAAATATTGATTTGGTACACGAAGTCAGTTTTAAAGGCGACAAAAAGGACTTTATGGTTAGTGTTAATTAACCGCGGAACATACATGCATCCGTAACGGTTTTCTTCCTCACGAATAAGTAATTTTAAATCGCATTAAAGAGTATTGATAAAACATTGACACAAAACATTAATGTAATACACGCGGAAATAAACACATATTTCAGAAATAATTATTTCTACGTTGAAATATATTTTTGAAATACGAAATCTCGAGCCTCCTCCATCATTTTTGGATCGCTGGATATTTTCATGGACCAGGAATCTCTTGACGTGACGCCTTCCGTGCGGCCGATATTTAAATCCACTAAGTACTCGCGTTCTCCAATTTACTTTTAGCCGTGCTTTGCGTGCGCGGGCCGCCGTCCCTGGACATACACGGTTAGTGTGTTCTCTCGGAACATGTACACTGGCTACCAGATGCCAGGCACGAATCGACGAGAACCGTTCCGTTCAGCCGCGCCGTGCCGGTAGTCGTCATCGCGCCGTCGTCCGAAGACGGACAACCAGCGGTTAATAACCAGCCGATTTTGTTGTCCTCTTTTGCGGCCGGCGAGCGTTGCGGCGCAGCGCGGCGCGATGCGGCTCCGAAGTCACTTTGCTAATAAGTCATTTGCCATGCTGTGTTGGATGTCGCCGCTTGCTTATGAAGGCGTCCCTTCATGGGACGCACAAAAGGATGTTTCATTAACCTAAGACATTTTATCGCGGACAGTTAATTATTTCCAAGAAGCGATACATGGAGTATTGCGTGGCGCCGCGGCGCTCCGGATTTTATATTTCGCTCTCTTTTCTATACCGATCGCCAAGCAAGACAAGACGACGACGACAGCTGGTTGATTGGTTATTGCGGTCGAATTTTGGCGAAGCATAAATTTTGTCCTCACGTTTATCTTCATCCAATTCCTCGAATAAATTGGAATAAATTTTTTCCTGTCGAGGATATCGCGATACGGTACATGTGTAAATGTAATCATAAAAGCTGTTCTGTATTTCCTTATAGTGATTCAAATATGTCTTAAACTACATTACATAAGCAATATTATTAGAGCACTGTTAATTATCAAAGGATAACTAACAATGGCAATGGTAATCCAATCCGTTGAGTTAAATATTTTATTATTTTTAACTTCCATATGTGTCAAAATGTAAATCAATTCATTTCTGTTGTTAAATCGCTTGCTTTAAATTCTTTAGAGTGGAATTTTACTTTAAAAAATGAAAATTGACCTTGAAAAAGAGTAGCTCAATTTTCAATCTTTAAGAGTGCAATTTCACTCTTTAGAACGAGATTCATTCTAAAAATTTCAGAAAATAATTTCAAAGTAAGCGGCGGTCATATTAACGTATGCACTTAATAAATAATATAAACTTAGTAAATAATAAAAAAATTTAAATCAAATTTAATTAATTTTTTTTCTGAGTTCTAAATTATTCAAATTGTTTGTTTTAGTTAAATTAATGATACATTGTAGTGTCGAAACCTACAGAAATAATTAAAAATAACTTAATTGGGTACAATTTGACGTTATGAATTTAATGGTATATGTGTTGAATGTATATTTTTCAATATTCACAATGCAATGTACTTTTGACACACAGTGCCTTTAAATTCTCGGAAGATACCGCTCATAATAGGTACGCTAGCGTGCGGTATTCCTTTACGAGCGTAGATCCAGTTTGAGGAAAGGCAAAGCTAATCTGCAAAGAATGCGTACAACATTTTCGCGTAAAAGATCTTTATTTCCCGGGTGGACGAGCTTAACGACGTCGGGATCTCGGCGAGACGGAACCGATATGCCGAGAAGGCAATAAACAGGTCGCACTTGCACTGTGCAGGTACGTCAGTCTCTTATATCCGATGCTGCATCGAGCGCGGAGACCGCTGTTTGAAACTCACCTGCGAAAGCAGCAGCAACAGCGCTGAATTTAATCGCGAAGTAGAACGGCTTCTCGCGTTTTTACAGACACAAACATAGAATCGCGGTGGTCGCGGGTCGTTAGCGACTGTCTGTTTTTACTTCCTCCTTCTACATAGCGCGCAATCGTTTTCCTTCGTTTCATCGTCTGGATGGGAAGCTTTTCTCGATTGCCGTTGAATTTTTTCTCTCATTTTAAATTTAATGTCTCCCGTGAAGAAACGTAAAATATATAAAGAAAAGTATTTTTATTGTTGCGCTTCTATTAAAGAATCCAGTTTATACCGGTCTTGATAGGATTTAATAAATGAATTTTTTTTTAAACTCAATGTAATATTCGTAACGTCATATTTATAATTATGATTTAATTAAAGAGTATTCTGTTTTTTGCGATTTAATAATAAGTGTATGTATTAAAATATTTTTTGAATTTTAATTGAAAGTAGGAAGAAATTGAGTATCATTTATGTATGTCTAAAAATGATTTAGAAAATAAATTACTTGTATAGTAGAATATTTAATAGCTTTTTAACAATTTAAATTTGAAAGTATAATAAAAAATTAAAAAAAATTAGTTGTGTGTGCGCAAAGCGAAATAATTATGGAAATAATAAATTACTTTATATAAAAATATGTTTTCGGTCAAAGAGCAAGACTTATTTTCCAAATAAATATTTAGCAATTTTTTTTTAAACACATAATTAATCGACCACTTAAACCTTTATTAAATAAAATAATTGTCAGCAAAAATATAGGTATTTCCATTCCTATAAAATTACTAGTCTTTCCGTGAGGACTTTCCGCAGTTAAAAATAAGGTAGCTTATGTGTCAAATTTATTCATGTTTTCCTACTAGTTTAGTAAAATAGATATTAATAAATATGCCTTATATATAGAAAGTTTCGTTTTATGGATGTGGTGTTAAGATCATTATGCCATCTGTTTGTTTTTAACTTCTTCATTTTGAAGATCTCTCTTTTCTAGTAAATGATCAAATTAAACTCTGCTATCAAGTTAAACTCTGCTTGATAACACAAATACATATACATGTTAATTAGATAATTAACATTTATTTATTTAATTAGATAAATACAATTATGGAAAATAATTCGAAATATAAAAAGTAGCACATGTATTTAGCCTGCAATTATTTTTTATTATGTTATATAATTAAATATTTCAAGCTTAGCTGTCATACGACACGCGGCGCTCGATGCTTGTGTTTTGCTTCATACGTCGCATTATTATGTGTATACACAGTACACACCATTACCTTGTGTTATTACCGCGCGATATGGTTAAACCCAACAGCAGTGAAGCGAGATGCTGCGTGTATCGTCATAATTCCTCGAAATGTGATCGAGTCGAGTATTGAAAAACACTCGAATGCATCACCGTTTCCTACGAACCATTAGCAACTTAACTTACGATTATTTAAATCTCATGATTGATGTATAAAGATGCTATATTTGTTGTTTATTGCAAATATTTCTCGTGGTTTATTCGTTTTAAGGGCACGGTTGCGACTTTTTAGTTTATAGCCTGGTTTTTTGACCAAATCTCCAATTTTCTAAAAAAATTTCCAGATAATCGTATACAAAATTTTGATGACCTTTTTGTTTTAAACGCGTCCTCTGGAAAGACTTCGATGGGAGGGTCAGATTTGATGTTCTTTTTAGAGAATGCATTATAGAAAACAGTATTTATAAATTTTAATAATGATAATCGGTCTTCAACAAGACTGCGATTATCACTTCTTATTATACTTTCAAATTTCCGATGATTTTTTTCTTAGAGAACGTACTACGAGAAAGTTTTAATTTTGACAATTTTAGTACTATAGCCATCGATCTTCTGGAGGTCCTCCGGTAGGAGAAGCGATCTCCAATGGAACACTAGTCATTTTCGGATCGGTCTTAAGTACAATCTTAAGATGTTATAAGAATCAAAGGGCTGTATGAGCATCTTAAGACATTATTTAAGACAGTCTTAAAGTAAGAAGAGACTATGTGAATTACACTGCCCTATATTATTTCATTGAAAGAAAATTGGAGAAACAAGGGTCATAGGAGTCAGGTACAGAAGACGTCGCGCAAATAATACACCAATAAAGCATATTATTTTTGTATTATTTGCGCGATAAATTGTCTTCTGCGCCCGACTTCTATGGCCCTTGTTTCTCCAATTTTCTTTCGATTTATAAGGAGTCTTTGTAGTTTGATTTGTCATACGGATTTATTTCATTGAGTTAAATATTTCGTGGCGACATAACTTGGCAGTTACACAACGCTCGGCAATTGGTGTTTAAACTTGTTTTCGTTTCTTACGACGCGCTATGTTATTGTATACAAGTGGTTACCTTGTTATTCCCGCGGCGAGGCTCGACCCGGCGGGCACGGGGCAAGGCACTCTGTATGTCGTCACGTTATACCTAGAGACACGATCGTGTCGAGTGCTGCGAGACATTAAGCGTGATCACTGCCTACGAACAATGAGCGAACGGACCATAAGTCACGCAATTATTTAACCTCCGGCAGCTAACAACTCGTGAATCAAGACGATTGCTCGTCGATCGTCGCGGATACTTTACGCGGTTTATTCATTTTAGATAATCGGGAGTTATAAATTGTTGTCTCGTTGTGATGCACGTGGTAATTATTACATTGCTTCAACAACGCTTCGGACACGAATATTTCTCAGCGAGAATAATTGAATTTTTCACCGTTTTAAATATGATTTTTCCATGACACACACTGTTCTCGGCTTGAGAATGCACGATAAAATATGCGAATCGAAGTAATAAAAAGTCGTGACGTATCGGTCGTTAATTATGCAGTATATAATACGTGTATATTTCGTAGAACGTATAATATATAATACTATATAATAATATATTTATATTAGAAATGTATTATGCGTGTAACAATGAGCTTCGATCGAGGAACTACTCACCTACGAAATCAACGAGGAATTCAGTAAACGAGGCAGTCAAGCATTCCTCATTGAAATCAAGAAATCATCTGAATTAGAACATCGTCGCGCGTCTCGAACTTTCTGTCGGAAAACAAATAAAATTACTTTGCAATCACGTTGAAATAACCATGAATACAAGAAATCGCAAATTATTTTCGAAGGTGAGTATCCCTCTCGGCTTCAATCTTACAATTTTGGACGATTTTTCGTAGTTTACGAAGAAGTTGACTCGCGTCGCGTCGTATCGGAGCGAAGTTGCCCGCGTCACTTTCGGATCGAACGCGAGACGGTTCACGTTGCTGGTACGAGTCGAATAGAATCGCGCTTCGTTAGACGTACTCGGCCATCTTTGATCCTTTGTTCCAACGTTGCATGTCGCGTAACGTGAATTCAGTGCTCGTGTGCATCGGCGATTCGTTGACCACGCGTAATCCCGTGGATTCATTTGAAATCTGCCGCGGTCAGAATCTAACCTCAATGTACTTCTGAAGCGCGTTGTGATTTCCGCCCGAAATGCTCCGTGCTTCCTAGATATTATTTTGTTCTTGTTCAATACGTTCGGTGAACAACGAGGAGAAAATGATACGTAGGTGGAACTCAAGGCAATCTGAACGTAGCTCTGGATGTCGCATGATATACGGCGAGCGTTGGATCGCGACGGTTAACGCGTGGAAATTTCCTCTGCGTCGTTTCGTACGTCGCATTAGTTTATGGGACGTCGTGGGTGCGAATCGCAGTTTGATACGTTATCGTCGCGACGTAAGGATGAGGTGCCGCAGTGTTCTATTATTGTCGGGAGTGTTGTGTTCGATGTGCGTAATGAAGGAATCTGAGAGGATGATGAAGGCCTGGAGGCATCGAGCAACGGCGGAGCAAATATGGGCAAGTACCTGATTTATCATTTGTCATTTATAAAATCATTTTCTAAAAATTGTATCATTATAGAAGATATACACATTTGATTGAAGAATTTTATCTCACATTTGAAAAAAAAAAATGTGAAAATTCATGAACGTAATTTTTGAAATACCTATGTTTATTTTGAACGCTGCTTTAATTGACATATGTTTGTATTTTTTAGAATTAACTTTCTATAAACTCCGCTGCTACGCATCAGATCGGTGAGTCAAATCGTATCCTATTTGAAGTTGTGAAAGTAATAGAAGTAATAGAAGTGTGTGAAAGAATATTACCCACTAACGTAACATTTCACAGATCCATCGTTTTAAAATAGAGGAGCTAGGACAGATTAATACTAAAAATATTTAATCTTGAAGTTTATATAAGTAATTAAGTATCTATTTATAAAATAAAATATAATAATTAATATATTAAACATTTTAGAAAACATTCAGGAAACTATTAAAATATAATATATTAATAATGTTAATTGTGCAATTTTTTAGTATATATCATAACTGAAATTTTTTATTTACTTTATTGCTTAATTGATTAGTGAAAAGTAAATCAAGTAAATATAAATAAAGCTGGAAAAATTGTATTTAAAATTAT